ATGCCCGGGGCCGGCGCCCCCTCCAAGCGCCCCACGCCCAGAGTGCGGGCGGCCAATCTGCGGCGCCCCCGGGGCCGGCGCTCACCGTGCGCCATGTGCCCAGGGCCGGCTCCGGCACCGCGCATGCGCCACGTGCCCGGGGCCAGGCCAGCCCCGAGCACTTGGCGGGCGCAGACAAATGCCCCCGTGGGCGCCATGGTGCCCACGGGCACCGTGTTGGGGACCACGGAGTTAGAGCATCTCAACAAAGGCTATGTCTAGACTGCAGGCTTCTTTTGGAAGATGCTTTTCCAGATCTTCTGAAAAACCTTCTTCTGAAAGAGTGCGTCCACACTGCCAAAGTGCATCGAAAAAGCGATCTGCTTTTTCAAAAGATAGTGTCCATTCAGTGTGGATGCTATCTCAGATTTAAGCTGGACGGAGTGGCCACCAGGGCCCCTGTGCTTTTTCCTCTTTCCTCTTCTTTCAAAAGAACTCCCTCTTCCCTGTGCACACGCGCCTTTTCCAAAAGAGCTTTTTTGGAAAAAGGCTTCTTCGTAGAAAGAGGTTTACCAACGTCAGGAAAATCCCTCTATTCTTCAGATTTTTTTTCTCTCAAAAGAATGTGTTCACACAGTAACACCTGAACAGCATCCTGTATTGCTACATGCAGCTGTAACCGAAAACACATCCTCAGCAGGTACAAACATGACAAGCAAATGTGCTGTAGCTACTACAGCTCCTAGAAGTACTGTTTGACTATGAAAAGAGACTATGCAGAAATGGTGCTTTCTTACTCAACCAGTCTCTTCTTTATATATGAATTCTGAGTTGGGGAAGGGAGCATGCTCTGCTGATTAATCTCAGTTTGTGCGCCTGTCAGCCCCGAAAAGCTAAAGGATGAGTGGTACGATGGCAGCATGGTCTTGCTGTGACTAAGGAAAATGAGATTCTTTTCCTAGTAGGGATGTACATGGTTAATTGATGAGCCTGGGCTCACTGGTTATCCTTTATGGTTACACGCAGCCTTCCTGCCCCCCGGCCCTGTGCTTGCTGTCTTTGTATCAGAGGCAGCAGCACAGGGCTGGTACACACGGGGAGGTAACTTTTTTCAACGACTACACGTTTACCTAAATAAACACTTTTTAACATGACTAATTCCTAGCTCTGTCACTGACTTGCTATAAAATGTTGGTCAAAACCCTTCATCTCCCAGTGTCTCCATTTTTCCTCTCACATTTTGTCTGCATTGTCTATTTAGATTATTAGCTCTAGGACAAGACTATGTCTCACCAGGGACGGATTTACAATGAAACATACCGTGCGTGGCACCGGGCCCCACCAATGACATGGGGGCCCCCAAGGCTGGACAGTCCAGTACTGGGTCTGCACGTCTTCCTATGCAGGGGGCAGCCCCTCTGCGGGGGCCAGTCCCTCTGAGGAGAGGGCTGGGGGGGGAGGAGGCAGGTGGGCAGGGAGGCTCACCTACAGGCTACAGCCTGAGAAGAGCTGGCAGGAGGCAGTGAACAGAGCCAACATGGGCTGAAAGGTTTCAGAGGAGCATGAGTCAGCCGCACAGACAGCCAGAGAAAAGCAATGCTTTGCAGTGGGAAAACACTTCTCTCTGGCCACCGCCTGTGTAGCTACCCAGTGCTCCTCTGAAGCCTTCCAGCCTGCCTGGTGAGCAGCAGTGGCCCGCAGGGTGGGGGGGGGCCCACCTGGGGCTGCCTGCAGCAGGTGAGGAGGACAGCCGGGGGGACAGAGCTCACAAGCTGCACAGCCAGCAGGAAAAAGCCACAGTTTGAAGCTCGAAGGTGTCGCTTCTCTCCAGCAGCTGGCTGTGTGGCTTCCTGAGTCCTCCAGCCCCTGTAATGTTGCACTGCTATTGGCTGCCATCTGGTGAGTGGCTGCTGCCCATGGGGAAGGGGGAGAGTGGCTGGGGGATGGAGAGCCCAGAGTGGGGAGGGTGGTGCTCAAGTGATGGGACTGTGCCTTCAATTAGGTGAAGCATATGTGGGTCTCTGCCCAATTCTCTGGGCCAACCAGCATAGGGCCACTGAAGTGTCTGAAGCTCTTCTCTGTGGCCATGAAGATCTCCGTATCTCCCCTGTCTGTCGTCTTCCCCAGCCCCACCATGGTGGCTCTGCTTCTGCACTTGGCCCTCAGCTCTGCTCCTTCCATCCAAGGCCCCGCCCTTCTGGGGGCCCAGGCCTGCGCCCCCCACACATACATCTTGCCCAGGGGCCTGACTATTCTGTCAGAAGCCCTTAGTTCCTGTGCCTGTGGCCCGCACCTAGGTCTGGACCTGCACCTAGGAGAGACAGGGGCTGACTTTCAGCACCCCACTATTAAAAATGTTCCAGTGCCACCGGTGTTAAACCTAATTGGGGAATGGGTGGTCCAGACCACAGCCCACCCACAGCTACACTCCTGCTCTTTCAGATGTTTTTAATCTGCCTAAAAATCAAGTCATTTTTCAGTAATAATGAAGCAATACTGTGAGTGAAAAACACACAAAAAATTAAGGCGAGGCAAAAAAGACGAAGCTAAGCAAAAAGGCAGTTTGCCATCTTATTTTAAAAATCTTGAAGTATCAAATAGAGGACATTCATCGAAAGTAGGGGGAGGAAACCTCTCAATTATCTGATCACTTGCCTAGAGGAGGGAATACCACGACAACTACAACCGTTGAACACGTGGACTCTGAAGGGGCAATGGAACTACAAAATACTGGTAATTTTGTTGAAGCAAAGGAAGAAACTTACTCTGAAGACATTGCATTATGGCCAAAATCTATTTCATTGGATATGACAGAATATTTCTTAGTCAATAAACCAAAAAACATCTATTTCATTGGATAGGACAGAATATTTCTTAGTAAATAAACCAAAAAACAGACAACATGGAAAATTTGAGAAAAAAAGTATGAGGTTGGAGGACGAAAGCAATTTAGAGGTCTTCATGAATCCCATTTTCTGAGGATGAAGAAAAATGAGACCACGGAAATGAAAAATTGGTTGATTTTTTTCAAAAACCACGAAGGCAGTCTATTATTATGTTTTCAAATTATTCCCTGACCATA